CAGAGTTTAAAAAGGTATCAATGAGGGGCCCAGCAGAAAGGTTTGCTCCGGAGGCTGGGACGGACCAGGTGTGGAGGCTCCCTGCATCTGCACAGCCAGGCAGGAGGCTCTGGAAGGGGGAAGGGCAGAAAGTATTCTGAGGGAGGAGTGGGTACTTCTGAAACCCCAGGTTAAAGGGTCCCTGTGGCATGGGGCTGCCTGGAGGGCCTTTACCAGCTTTCAGCATGGCACCCCCATGGCACTGAGGCTGCCTCACTGTGCTCCCCGCTCCCCAGCCTCTTCCTGCCCCCAACCTTACACCAGTTTCTGTGGTTATCCCACACTGTGGTTTAACACCTCCTCGCCTTCACTCATGCTGCTCCCTCTGCCTGGAAGGCCCTTTGCCCTGCCCACCCCATCCCATCTGAAAACCCAGGACCTGGCTCCTTCCAAGGAGCCTACACAGATCCTCCCAGGCTGTGTTGGATACTTTTCTGTGTGTGCTTGGGTACACTCAAGGGGAAGGTCTACATCTTTTGTCATCTGATTTCCAAAATCACTAGAAGTCATTCAGTGTTTACCTAAAGCCATGGAGGAAAGAGTCGGGGATTGAGACAGGCTGAGCTCCAGACCCTGTTCACCAGTACTATGTGGCATCAGCTAAATTTCTTAACCTCTTTGAACCTCCTCATGTTTTCTTCCAACAAGATACTGAAAATGGAAACACTGACCTGTAAAGTTGCACAAATGCCTCACAGTTCATTAAGTATCATTATCTGTGCTTCTGTCACATTTATTTACAAGCCTAGTGGAGGGGAAGGTGGTCAGGGAAGGCTCTCCTGCCTCCTGGACTTTGAAGGGGGATGGGCGGGAAATTGGCAGGTGTGGTGGTGGGAAGCTCAGCAATGCAAAGATGGGCCTCCACTGGGAATGAAGGATGCATGCCAGAGAGGCAGAGAAAAGCTGGAGAGATCCCAGGGGCCCCCAGGAGCCAGGTCAGCAGGACTTTGCTCGGCTGGACCAATGGCAAGCTCACCCTTGCCCCCTCTCTCAGTGCCAGCTCAGGCCAGACCTTCTTCTCAGACGTGGACTCCACGGACGCTGCCAGCACCTCGGGCTCTGCATCTACCAGCCTCTCCTATGACTCCAGGTGAGCGCCCAGAGGTCAGCCCTGACCTCAAGCTTCACAAGAACCGTTGTTCTTCCCAGGCTGCCACCTCCCACTTCTACTTTTGTGGGGCTCAATTTGCATACCTGAGCCCCCCACTGGAGGACCTGGCCTTCTGCAATTCTAAGAGTCTGGCCCTGGGACCCTCTAGTTCCGAGTCCCTGGGGTTCAGGTGGGATAAGGAAAGGCATCCAGGATGCTGGGGACACATCCCTTTGGAATGCTTTTCACCTGCTGCAGAACAATGGACATCTCTGGCTGGCTGGTTCCAATCTGGGGTTGTCTTTTATTAGGGGTTCCTGGCCTCTGTGTGCCATGATTTTGCAGGCCCGTGCTTCTCAGGCTGTGGGGTCCCTAACCCTGGTTTCTGGCTGTCTGAGTTCCAGGGCCTCTAAAGGAAGAGCATGTGTTTGGAAGCCTGGTAGAGGGAGGATGGCATCCTGTGGACTGCAGGGTCTGGTGGAGGACAAATTCCAGGGGGCCCAAGCTGAAGGGCTGGCCTGCTTGGCAAGAGCTGGTGGTCAGCAGCACAGGGAGGGTGGTCTGCAAAGCAGAAGGATTTCTTCTGGACTCAGGCTCCTTTATTTTAGGACATGTGAAGCCCTTGCAAAAGTAGAATTAAAAGCATAATGCTTGTAGACCTGTGTCCTGAAGTCTTAGTCTGCAGAAGTCTCTCATGTGTCTTTTTCTAATGTTTTTTGTTTGTTGGTTGGTTGGTTCTGGGGATGGAACCCAAGACTTCACACAAGCTAGGCAAATGCTCTACTGCTGAGCTACACCCAGCCCTATATTTTGTTTCTTCCTGTTTCTTTGGTTTCCACTAGTGCTTTGGGTCTTGGCTTCCATTTCTAAGCATCTGTGGATGTGAATCTGATCTTGTGTCCCTTCTCTAACACATCTGCCTATGTAGTACAAGGTCTGTCCTTCAGTCCTTGACCCTGTCCTCATCCCCATTTGGCTCAGCTAGCTCCACATGGGTGCAGGTGACAGACGAGCAGCGTACACAAGGCCTCTATGCTGCATGACCTCAGGGGGCGCAGAGAACAGTTGTCTGTACTCTAGCAGTTCTGGTTCTGGCACCCAAAGAGCCCAGGCTTTAGAGCTGGACAGACCCAGGTTTGAACCTGGCTCTGCCACTCCCCAGCTGGCTGCTTCTCCCCTGGAGCTTCAGTTTCCCTCCTATGGGGTTACTGCAAGGACCTGTGAGATAATCCATGCCCCGGGCCAGGCACAGTGCCGGGTACCCAGGAGACTGCTGGGAGCAAGGGATTTGTCATGGTCATCCCATCTCATTCCCATCATCTTCCTCTCCCCACTCCTGCTGTAGACGGACAGTAGGCAGCCGCAAGAGGAAGCTGGCGGCCAAGGCATACATGCCGCTGCGGGCCAAGCGGCGGGCGGCTGAGCTGGGTGGACGCTGCCCCTCAGACAGCAGTGCGGAGGGGACTTTGGGCCCCGAGCGGCCAGATGAAGGCATCGATAGCCACACATTTGAGAGCATCAGTGAAGACGACTCGTCCTTGTCACACCTCAAGTCATCTATCACCACCTACTTTGGCGCAGCAGGGCGGTTGGCCTGTGGGGAGAAGTACCAGGTGTTGGCTCGGAGGGTCACACCAGAGGGCAAGGTTCAGTACCTGGTGGAATGGGAAGGGACCACCCCTTACTGACTACCCCTCGGGGGCTGCAGGGAGCCCTGAAAATCAGAGGGACAGCCGAGGGCACAGGTTTCCCTGTTTCCTCCAGGCTGGGTGGGGGAGGAAGCAGCACAGTGGCAAGGGCCTGGAGAGGCCTTGTCCAGCTGCCCAGCAGGCCAAGCTGAGCCTGCACTACTACTGTGTCAGCTCTGCTCTGCTCTGCTCTTGGTCCATGGCCTCCCTAAGGTCCCACTGGCTCTTTTTAGTGTCTTCACACTCCACACCCCTCACACTGTTTATTGGTTCTTCCTGAGTTTGTGTCCACCCCTATCCCACCCCCCACCCGGCTCTGTGACTCTAACTCCTGAGGCCCAAATCTTTCTCTGTCCCCATTACTTTGTCCCTTCACCTCTCACTGCTTTCTGGTGTGTGTTCACACATCCTCCATGTGCATATCTGTCCCTCCACTGGATATCCTTTACACCTGACCCATGGGGGCTGCCCCTCCCTAGGACCACATTGAGATTGGGAACCTCTGAAGGAGAACAGGTCAGTGGAGGCTTCTCTCCCCCGCCCCCTTTTCCTTCCACTTCTACCCCTGGAAAGGGGGTGGTGTGAGAGGACTCTGGGAAAGTCTGTGTGGCAGAGATGCTGGGATTCAGCACCTAGAGAGCAAAGAACCGGGTCTCCACAGCAGAAGGCACCAGCCTCTGGGCCCCCTTATTAAGGCTGAGTGTGAAGGCTGCTGGCCTCAGTTCCGAAGGTCCAAGAAGTTTGTCTGTGCCAAGCCTCACACCACTTAGCTGCCACAGAGCTGGGCCTCGCCTTCCTAGAATGGAGACATCCACGAAAACCAGGGAGACTGGGGGAAGCAGTGGAAAGGGAGCCACCACCCACAGCCAAACCACACCCATGCTCTTGCCCAGAAGCTTCCATGTGTGTGCTTTTACACACCAGGCTCACACATCTCCCAGCGTCCACACACAGCCACATGACCTGTCTCCCAGCGTCCACACACAGCCTGGATCCTTCTTTTGGCTTCCTCTTTGCCCCTTCCAGGGGCACAGGCTGCAGGTGAATGTGAAGGTCCAGCTCCTGCCCACTTCCTCCAACATAATGGACTAGCTTTGGCCCAATGAGGTCAAAGCACAGAAGGCTCCTACTCTCCCCCAGCTCCCCAGCCCTGCTCTAAAATTGATCATCATGGGATTTTTCAATGGCCTGTTTCATTAAGCCCCCTCAAAGGGATGTGTTTGTCATTTGGGCTTGAAATAGAATTCTTAGAACAGACATTCAGATTCAGCCCCGTCTGGAGGGAAACCAAAATTGGGAGGGGGCCAGGACCCCTCATTTTTGCTGCTTCCAGAGATATTAGAAACTGACTCACTTGATTGGAAATGGGAAGAAGTGCCTTGACTGAGGGGGTTGGGCACCAGGTTGGGACCAGCCTTGGCTGGATTTGCAGGCCACCAGCTGGAAGGCGAAGATGGGAAGAATGAGGCAGCAGGCCCAAGGAGCCAGATTTCCCGAGATTATGCCAAACTCCTCCCCACCATGAGCACTCGGCCCTGGGATAGGCTAGATGGCCCTGCCTTAAACCTCAGCTCCTATAGTGCCTTTCAAAGGAACTTCACCTCAGCCCCTTCGCATATCCTGCCCACTTCCCTCTCTTTCCCCTACATGGCCCAGGCAGGGACAAGCAGGTTCTGGGCCCAGTTCTTAGCCCCACAGCTGCTGCCACTGAGGCACCCAGGGAAGGGGAGTTGAGAAGCCAGCCCCAGCCCAGTAGGGGTGTGGGACCTGGGATTCAAACTGGCTTCCTGCCGGTCTCAGCACAGCAACCTCTGAGGTCTGACTTCTAGGTTCTGAGAAAGCCAGGATGAGCAAGGCCTGTCCTTCCCACTTAGGCTGGGAGAGGCTCTGGGCCTGAAGAGCAGGGCAAAAGAACCTTTCCCACTGGGAAGACAGCACAAGGCCTAACGAGGTCACTGACTCTACACCCCAGCTTTTCATTCATACCACATAATAGCTGCATTATTGCCAACTCACCTTATAACCCTGTGCACCTTCTAAGAGATACATGGTTTTGAATTGCTGCTTTTAATAACATTTTGTTATATTAAATTTATGTGTCTGGTTTACAATGTAAAAGTTCCCTTTGAGAATTATCTCTACTGAGTGGTGAACTGCCAGCTGCTGAACACAGAAGAACTGATTCTGGCTTCTGCAGTTGGCTTCCTGCAGCTTAGAGGAGGACGGCAGGACCCCATCCTGTGGCCACCTTACCACTCCCTATAACATTCAGTAATCTCCCACCCTTATTGTCAGAGAAAATGTAGGACCTTTTATCTGCTGAGTACATGACCCATAAGGATACAACCTAGCTGAAGGCTGCAGGTAAAAGATAAAACATGAACTTAGGCATTTATGCAGACACTGCAAACATTGCTCAGCACACACAGGCACACACTTCTAGAAACTGAGTTCCAGAACCCAGCTCTGATGGTTTCAAACAGTAGCACTAGTCAGATTCCTTCCATTTTCTCACCCTTCAAATTCCAGCAATAATTGCCACAGCACCTGGCTCCCCAAGGTTGGGAAGGGACCCTTCACATATATGACAATATTATTTCAAAATAAATCTCTTTAGTATTGTTTAGACAGAGAAAAAATGTTTGTTAAGGTGTAGGGAGAAGGTTGGCTTCAGGGAGATGACACCCATAAATTCACCTGGTTCCAGGTGGAAGTGTGCCCTGTTAATCCTGAGCAGAGGGATGCTTAGGTGTACTGATAACTCCTACCCTATGTCTTTGGTACTACTCCTTTGGCTTCCACCCTTTAGCTGTCCTGGAAATAAAGCCACAGTGGGAGCCAGGGGAGGGGGTGGTTTCTTCTGTGAGCAGCTATCTAGATGCACCTGAGACCTGTGGGCCTCTTGGGTTGGAGGGTACCTGCTTCTCTGTGGTCTCGGGCAGTGTTTCCCAATTCACAGCATTTACCTTTCGAATTCAGGAATGAGAGATTAGAATTTCTAGAAATTCCAAATCCCAAGTGTTTTTAAGATACTTCACTCTTAATACTCCTCTCAGTATTATAAGTATCTGACAAAATTTTGTCTAGTAAGCATATTAAGCTTAGTACTATTTACAAAGGACTAGCCTGTACGGAAAGTTAAATGCTGGAGCATCTGTTAGAAACTATCCAAATAATGTGACATTTGAATATCCTAGAAAGGTTAACAGCACTTAAAATCAATCACATGTCCAAATAACTAACTTAAGAATTTATTTTGCATCTAAAGTTTATTTTCTGGAGCACCACTCACAGGATTTGTATAATATATACTATGTGTACAAATTATTTTATTTACAAGAAAAACTCCGATAGCAGCAGACAGGACCAGACATACACACTTCTAACATGGCAACAACCAAAAAACAAGATCAATTAATTCGATGGTGACAATTTCCCTCTCACAAGCCAGGCCTGGGCTCTCTCTTCAGCTCAGCATGTTAGTGTTTCCTGCTCTTGTTTTTTGCTCAATTAAGGTGGATTCTTTCAAATCAGTAATCTTTCCATACTAATAAGCTTTAGTATTCACAGGGTAATTATGATACTTTCCCTCATTTCCTCAATTGATTTTTCTAGGGATTCTGGATTAAAAAAAAAAAAATGTTATCTAAGAAATTCTGGAAAGGAGTTCCCACATGGAGACTCTGGTCTAGGACCCAGCTCTGGCTTCTACAGCATCATTCTGGGAGGGTGGTATGGGATGGCAGCCACACCATGTAGACTGGAGTTACACAAACCCTAAACATCACTGAACACCTCTACTCCTTCATCTATGGAATGGGTCATGAGCCGCCAGATCTGTGGTAAGGAGTACACAGTGAAATACATGCCCAAACGCCAGGCCAACTGGCTTCTATGTTTTAAGAACTAATAACTGCTGGGTACAGTGGTGCATGCCTATGATCCCAGCAGCTTGGGGGACTGAGGCAAGAGGATCCCAAGCTCCAGGCAAGTCTCAGCAACTTAGTGAGACTGTCTCAAAAAATAAAAAGGGTTAGGGGTGTAGCTCAGTGGTAAAGTGCACCTGGGTTCAATCCCCAGTACCAAACCAAACCAAACAAAAATAACTCTTCCTTTAGAGCTGGCTATAGCAGGTTCTCTGAGCCTGTGACCTTCAAATGGATCTATTCAGCCTCCTTCGATGTAAAAGCTTTAAGTTTTGAATCAGAGATTGGGTTCACATGTGAGTGCTACTTTCTGATCTCAGATTTCATCTGCAAAATGAGGGTAACAAATAAGAACAACTGAAATATAGTATAAGAATATATTATAAGAATATATATTATATATATTCTTATAATAATAAGATAATGTTAAGAAGCTAGGGCAGTACATAGTGGACAGAGCTGCTATTTAGTAAATGTCCCTCTCCCCTCCAGTGTCCTACATAGTCAACTCTGGACACTGAGACAAAGGCAGGCTACTAAGCAAGTTTTCTGCAATATAATAACACAAAAGATGATTCAATAAAGACAACAGATAGAAAAATCTTCTTTGGAATTGTCCCACTTTAAGAAATTAAAAGAAAAGTTGAATTTTGCCAATTCAACAACTTAATAGTGAGTATGTACAGTAGAGAAAGCTTTGATCATTTAAATCCTTGAAACATCAGCCTCAGAAATATCTGCCAAACCCTGTGCAAGAGATCAAGTAGATTCAGTCATGCCCCTGACCTCCAGCAACTCACAATCCTGCAATACAAGGCCAACTTTGATGCAGAAAGATAAAGGGAACACCAAGGCAGGATAGAGTCCTTACAGCTGGCAAGGCCTCAGAAAGGTCTTACAAAGGAGCAGTCACATGTCATAGGCATTTAGGCAGAGGGCATTCCAGACAGAGAGGATAGCATGAACACAGGAATAACATCAACAGCACAGTGAGCCATCTGTTAGCCAGAGTGGGAAAGGAGAGGTCAAGGGGGATGATGGAAAAGGTGAGTAAAGATTGTAAAGGGCTAGAAGGCCAGACCTAGAAATTGGACTTTATCCTAAAAGCAATAGAGTCAGTCCATTTGGGGTCCTCAGTACATTTTTAAGTAGGGTTTACTTTACACAAGATTTTCCTAAGTATCAGAAGCTGATCTGCTTTTAAAAAGAAAAGAAAAAATCAACAAGGGACATCACCATTAGCTCTATTCCTCTTTTCAGGCAGCCCCTGAAATTACCACTGGCATCCTCTGGACCTTTAGAAGTAAGCTAGAATAGGAGGGGGTCCAACACTCCCCAGAGGGTGTTATTCCATTTCTCAATGCTTTTCTGTATTTCTTTTAGGCATAAATTGTTTTTGCAAATAGCCAGACCTAAAAGTCACCAAATTCCCTCAAAGCTCACTGAGGGAGTTTCCTGCAGCCTGCACAGAGCAGCAGTTGTGAGCACCTCTGCCACCTTTTGGGAGCCAAGAGCAAATGTACCCATTGCACAGGGGCACACAGCCACATCAAGCGCAAACCTTGATGCTGAGAGCAGAAAACAGACAAGATGTGTGCTAAAGTCCTAAGCTGTGTGCAGTACCCACCAGGGCCCCCACACCAGCCACCAGAGACTATATTAGACTATATTAGTCACTTCCACATGGTGCCATTCTGGAAACCCTGTCCCATGTGCTGTCTCCTTTGTGGTTGGGCATAAACTCTAATAAAACCTTGTTTAAGGGGCTGGGGTTGTGGCTCAGCGGTAGGGCACTTGCCTGGCATATGTGAGGCACTGGGTTCGATTCACAGCACCACATATAAATAAATTAAAGGGCTATCAACAACTAAAACAATATTTAAAAAAAAAAAGAAAGTGAAAACTACATGGTTCTTTAGAAATTTCTTTGTTCAATACAGAGTTAAGTATAGCTTCACTTTCTTTAAAAACAAAACAAACAAACAAACAAAAAACTTGTTTCAGTGATGTTGCTTCCCTCATCAAGATCTGTGTCTCAAATTGAGCAAAAGAACTTTGCAGTCTCAAAAAAAAAAAAAAAGAAAGAAAGAACTTTGCAGTCTCTACAATGTCTTCATGGCTGGGCCTTTGAGATCATCCCCATTTGATATCTGGAGGACTCTAGGGTAGAAGCAGCACAGCAGGTTTCAGAACGAGGGCCTGACACTACCCAGCTCACACACCCTCTTTCTAGGAAAGACCAGGATACCACATCTGTCTTTCAGTTCCCACCCAAACCACCCATGTTCTCCTCAGAATGGAGCTACTTTGTGACAGATTCATGAAGGAGGCTGGAGCCGTCTCTCTGGAGCTCACCACCTAGGGCTCAGCATCCCCTGCTCTCTTCCACGAGAGACTCATGGAGCAGGCCCAGGAGAGTCCCAAACACAGCTGAGCAGTCATGGTTGTACTATGTGGAACTCAGCATACCACCCCTTTTCTGGATCTCCATGCAGTTCAGTTTTCTTAAGTAATCTATAAAATGGAGACTGGTTTAAGAGTAGTGATTTAAAATTTGTCAATAAGGAAAGTTTTCAAAACACTCCAAATCTTACAGGGGAACTTACCGCAAAGTGAAGGCACAATTGCACTGGTAGGAGTATGGGTATGTGTGTGGGTTGGGGGGATCTGATGCCCTTACTACCAGTCAGGAATCCAGGTTACTGAAGCTTTATACAGCAAATATGAAAAATACTGGTCTAGAAGGTTCCCAGGGTTCCATTTCTATGCTTAGAACCTGTTATGATTTAGATATGAGATATCCTCCAAAAGCTCATGTGTGAGACAATGCAAGAAAGCTTAGAGGTGAAATGATTGGGTTATGAGAGCCTTAACCTAATCAGTATATTAATCCACTTGAATGGATTAACTGAGTTGTGACTAGAAGCGGGTAGGGTATAGTTGAAGGAGTTTATATTTTGTTCCTGGTGAGTGAGAGTCTCTCTCTTGCTTCCTAGTGCCATGTCCTGAGCTGCCTTGATGTTCTACCTCACCTCAGGCCCATGAGCAATGGAGTTGGTCATCTATGGACTGAGACCTCTGAAACCGCAAGTGCCAAATAAACTTTTCCTCCTCTAAAATTGTTCTTATTAGGTATTTTGATACAATGACAAAAAAAGCTGACTGGAACAGAACCTCTTCACTGAGCAAGGCACAGAACCTTCTGATGTCTGTCACATTCAGCCTAGGAAGGAGTCAAAACTTACTGCAACCCATGAAGCTGTGTCTAAGCACTAATGTTCCCCTAGTTACACACATATTCCCAGACTCGCCTCTTCAAGACTCAGGAACAATAAAAATCTCTAACTAGGAGCAATAATCCTGCTGATCCATGAAATTCCACCATTATAATGCATCCTTTTGAACAGAGTACTTGAGTACTTTCCAGTTGCTCTAGAATGAGGCACACACTTCCAGGTGAACAAGGTCATTGGGTCCATTCTTCCCCAGGAGAAGCTGGGGCATAATAATACCCTAGGCATTCAAGGTCACCCTAGGCACCCTAGGTCAGTCCAGTAACCAAAAACGACAAACCTCACTTTCACTGTTACTTTCCCTTGGTCTCTACACAGAATTATCCTCACCCTCCCACCCTCTGCCATCTTTAAACAAAGTAGTACTTCAAGACAAGGTCCACTGGGTTTTTACTGGTATGACTGGTCCAGCCTTCTCCAGCCTTAGGAGCCTTGAACACCTTCAGCCCACAGAGCTGCTCCTCTTTGCTGACAGGAACTTGGAATTCACAGATGCTAGGAGGTAGAAAGAGGCCTGCTCTTACCCAGAGTTCAGCAGCTGAGGGATAGAGGCAGCCAGCAGCACGCACCAGAAGCTTCCCTACTCAGTCTTCCTCCATGCCCTCCTCAAGCCACTTTAAATAGTGCACATCTCCTTGGTCCATGGGAAGACTGAAGACCTCTGGGATTTCAAAAGGATGCACCAACCTTTGGAAAGAAGGGAGAGCTCTGTGAATCAACCCATGTGATACTAACCCATTCCAACTAGCCAGCCTCCTGAAAGGCCCTTTGAAATCTGCGACAGTCTACCTGGCTAGTGCCATAGCCCACCATTCCTGAGCCCGTGTTTCTTAGCTGTCAACAAGCTAAGCTGGATCAGGTGGCTTTAGAGTCTCACAGACATGGTTCAAATTCTAAATTTCCTTACTAGCTGTAAGGACTATGGACAAGTCACTTCATTTTCTAGGGATAAAAATAATACCTATGTAATTAGATTGCTGAAGACTAAATACGACAAGGTATATAAAGCACTTACCTACTCCACCAACTGGCACTGCACACATTCTATTAGATGTTAGCCTCTGCTTTCATTAGTCTCCTATACACACTGTTCTACCTTCCCTCCCACAATTCCTCTGTATTCTTCCCCACATGGAAAGTTCTTCCTGCTCCTGCTGATCAATCAAAAGCCTTTCTCTCAAGCAGAGGGAAGATGGCGGCTAGGGGAGTGCATTGCCCCCGTGTGCTGCTTCACTGTGTGGGAGTATGACAAGTCAGGACGGCTAAAGGCTATCTTGTTAGGAATTTCCAGCAATAGTGGGGTGCTCCGGAACCTGGAGGAAGGATTTCCATTGCACGAGGATTGGCTACGGGGACTCAAACGCGAGAGGTTTGTCGCACAGAGGGTAACACTGCTTATTCAGCAAATCGCCCCGCGGCTAGAGTCTGCAGCGCGCGCTGGGAAACGCGGAGATAGCGACGCAGGGATACAGTGCTGCAGTTTCTGCCAGCCGTGCAAGCACCGTACTCAGGGCTGAATTCTGGGTTCGAGGCGGGGGAAGGAAGCGGTCCATCTCGGTTCTCCACACCGGTCAGACCACAGAGGAGGCCAGCAGCCACCATGTTGGAAAGCTGACGTCACCATCCCTGTTTTCGACTGACCGCAGCTCATTCAGCCATAGAACAGGTAATTTCAGGCTGCCATTCGCCTGCGGCTTGCAGACAGATTGCTAGGGTTCAGTGCCTGGGTGCTTCTTAGAACCTGATCTTATTGGAGCAAACACAGAGCGCGGGGCGGCCAAGTTCCGGCTCCCGGAACCGCCCTGGCCCAGGGCTGCGGAGCCTGCGGAGGCTGCTTCTTGGACCCTGCTCCTATCAGAGCATACACCAAGCACTAAGCAGCCGAATTCCGGCTCCCGGAACTGAGCCCGCGGGGACTGCTTCTTGGAGCCTACTCTTATAGGAGTTTACACCGAGCACGGAGCGGCCGAGTTCCGGCTCCCGGAACTTCCCTGGCCCAGGGCTAGAAGCCCGCAGAAACTGCTTCTCGGTCCGGGTCCTGCTGAGGGCCAGTCAGGACTCACCCGTTGCTTTGGTTGCCCAGCAAGGGGAACGAAATGCTGCCATTCGCATAGGATACCAACATGGCAGAGATCTGATGTCATCAGAAAGCGGCGGAGGAGAGAACTTCATCAATACCAGCGGCAACATAAACAGTTGGTCTCCTGGTAGGGGGGGTTAGGCACAGACACCCGAGTCTCCTCAATTTGTCCTCGAGCCAGAGGGGAGGAGCCGGGCCGCCGCCAGCGCCCGGAGAAGGCCCAGCGGCTCGCCAGCGTGGTGACCGCGTGACCCCAATTGGAGAGGGGGCAGAGCGGAGCCGCCACCCGCACCCACAAGGTGGGCTGACCCGCGACCCAGTGGTACATGGGCGTGGTAGGAGGGGCAGGGCAGAGCCGCCGTTCACGCTTGCAAAGTAAACAGACCTGTGACAGCCTGGCGGGTCAGGCCCAGTGGCCTGCCAGGGTGGTACACACATCACCCCAACTGGAGTAGGGGCAGAGCAGATCCTTCTCCCACGCCCGGATCAGGCCCTACCGGTGTGGTGGCCACGTGACCCCAATTGGAGTGGGGGCGGAGCGGAACCGCCACCCGTGCCCGCAGGGTGAGCAGACCTGTGACCAACCTGCAGATCAGGCCCAGGGGTCCGCAGGCGTGGTAGGAGGGGCAGGGCAGATCCGCCGCCTGCGCCTCCAAGGTAGGCAGACCTGCGACAGACCGGCAGATCAGGCCCAGGAGCCTGCCGGCGTGGTACACACACCACCCTAATTGGAGTAGGGGCAGAGCAGAGTCGCCGCCCGTGCCAGGAACAGGCCCACCGTCCTGCAGCCGGGGTAGTCACGACACCCCAATTGGAGTAGGGGCAGAGCAGAGCCTCCACCCGTGCCCAAAAGGTGGGCAGATCTGCGACCGGCCAGCGGGACAGGCCCAGTGGCCTGCCGGTACGACAGACAAGTCACCCCATTTGGAGTAGGGGCAGAGTAGAGCCGCCGCCCACGCCTGCAGGGTAGGCAAACCTGCAACCGACCGGCGGATCAGGCCCGGTGGCCTGCCGGCGTGGTACACTCGTCACCCCAATTGGAGTAGGGGCAGATCAGAGCCGCCGCCAGCGCCCAGAACAGGCCCAGTGACCTGCCGGCGTGGTAGCCACGACACCCCAATTGGAATAAGGAGAGAGCAGAGCCGCCGCCCGCGCCTGCAGGAAAGATACGCAAGTAGTATGAAAAGACAAGAAAAGAAAGGACCACAAGCAATGCAGGTCAATGCAACTTTAGAAGAGGTAACAGCTGCAGCAGATGGAATGTCAGATAAAGAATTCAGGATATACATGCTTCAGATGATCTGGAGTATCAAGGAAGACATTAAACAGCAAAATCAGACAATGAAAGATCACTTCGACAATGAATTATGCAAACAAATCCAGGAAGCAAAGGATCAACTATACATGGAGATAGAGGTTATAAAAAACAAACAAACAGAAATCCTAGAAATGCAGGAAGCAATAAACCAACTTAAAAACTCAATGGAGAATACTACCAGCAGAGTAGAACACTTAGAAGATAGAACAGCAGACAATGAAGACAAAGTATTTCAACTGGAAAAGAACATAGACAGCTCAGCAAGACTGTTAAGAAACCATGAGCAGAACATCCAAGAAATATGGGATAACATTAAGAGACCAAACTTAAGAGTCATTGGGATACAGGAAGGTACAGAGCTCCAAACCAAAGGAATGAGCAGTCTATTCAATGAAATAATACGAAAAAACTTCCCAGACTTGAAGAATGAGACAGAATCCCAAATCCTAGAAGCCTACAGGACGCCGAATGTGCAAAATCATAAGAGATCCACACCTAGACACATTATAATGAAGATGCCCAACATACAGAATAAGGAAAGAATTTTGAAAGCTACAAGAGAAAGGAAGCAGATTACATTTAGGGGTAAGCCAATCAGGATAACAGCTGATCTTTCAACACAGACTCTGAAAGCTAGAAGATCCTGGAATAACATATTTCAAACACTGAAAGAAAATGGGTTCCAACCAAGAATTGTGTATCCAGCGAAATTAAGCTTCAGGATGGAAGATGAAATGAAAACCTTCCACGATAAACAAAAGTTAAAAGAATTTGCAGCTAGAAAACCATCTCTTCAAAACATCCTCGGCAAAACACTACAGGAAGAGGAAATGGAAAATAACAATGAAAACCAACAGTGGGAGGTAGGACAGTAAAGGGGGGGGGGAAATAATCAAAGAGGAAAACAAACCATGTTTAGTAACAGAAATAAACAAATATGGCTGGAAGAACAACCCATATCTCAATAATAACCCTAAATGTTAATGGCTTAAACTCACCAATTAAGAGACACAGGCTAGTAGAATGGATCACAAAACAAGACCCAACAATATGCTGCCTACAGGAGACGCATTTGATAGGAAAAGACATACATAGGCTGAAGGTGAAAGGTTGGGAAAAATCATATCACTCGTATGGACTTCGGAAACAAGCAGGAGTGTCCATACTCATATCAAATAAAATAGATTTCAAGCCCAAGTTAATCAAAAGGGATAAAGAGGGACACTACATACTGCTTAAGGGAACCATGCACCAACAAGACATAACAATCATAAATATTTATGCCCCAAACAATGGTGCAGCTATGTTCGTCAAACAAACTCTTCTCAAGTTCAAGAGTCTAATAGACCACCATACCATAATCATGGGAGACTTCAACACACCTCTCTCGCCACTGGACAGATCTTCCAAACAAAAGTTGAATAAGGAAACTATAGAACTCAATAACACAATTAATAACCTAGACCTAATTGACATATATAGAGTATACCACCCCACATCAAGCAGTTACACTTTTTTCTCAGCAGCACATGGATCCTTCTCAAAAATAGATCATATATTATGTCACAGGGCAACTCTTAGACAATATAAAGGAGTAGAGATAATACCATGCATCTTATCTGATCATAATGGAATGAAACTGAAAATCAACGATAAAAGAAGGAAGGAAAAAGCATACATCACTTGGAGAATGAACAATAGGTTACTGAATGATCAATGGGTTATAGAAGACATCAAGGAGGAAATTAAAAAATTCTTAGAGATAAATGAAAACACAGACACAACATATCGGAATCTATGGGACACATTGAAAGCAGGTCTAAGAGGAAAATTCATTGCTTGGAGTTCATTCCTTAAAAAAAGAAAAAACCAACAAATAAATGATCTCATACTTCATCTCAAAAATCCTTGAAAAAGAAGAGCAAAGCAACAGCAAAAGAAGTAGAAGGCAAGAAATAATTAAAATCAGAGCTGAAATTAAAGAAATCGAAACAAAAGAAACAACTGAAAAAATTGACAAAACTAAAAGTTGGTTCTTTGAAAAAATAAACAAAATTGACAGACCCTTAGCCATGCTAGCGAAGAGAAGAAGAGAGAGAACTCAAATTACTAGCATACGGGATGAAAAAGGCAATATCACAACAGACACTTCAGAAATACAGAAGATAATCAAAAACTATTTTGAATCCTTATACTCCAATAAATTAGAAGATAGTGAAGGCATAGATAAATTTCTTAAGTCATATGATCTGCCCAGATTGAGTCAGGAGGATATAGACAACCTAAACA